CTAAATAGCTATTCAAAAAGCTCAAGTTAATAGTAGTTTGCAATGTCGGAAATCAGCATGAATGTATTACTGAGCCATTATCAATATGAAGTGCTTCATTCATCAGTGTAAATTTCCTAAACCATGGATAAAGTTGTTTTAATATGTTCACTAAAATAAGTAACTTAAATATCTAGTAACATGCTATAAATTAGTTCAATCTGTTCAATTTGAAATGGATTAGATTATCCTGTTGTTGAAATTTTGACTGAAATTTGATCATTCTTAGTTGGATATGGTCCTCGATATGGGTATTGTGACACGAGTGAGTATAGAATAGCTGAAATATGGATAGCAGTGGAATCCTCTAAGTGGCTCAAGTGATGGAATTCGAAGACAACGGTATTAGATTCAAGTCCCAAATACGACGAAATATAAGTTCTGGATTCCACTGCAAGACACCTATTTATCTTACATTAATCAATGTATATTTAGTTTCCGGTTAAAATCCTTCCATCTGTCAAGAGGAGTGTAACTAATATGCCGCGAATATTTAGGTTTCTATTCATGTTAATTGATATTACCACATAGTAAATAAAGTATAATTGTACAAGTTGAAATCATGAGCCAATTGAAGCTAGACCACCATGGAAAACCTGGAAGCACTGGACGGCCGTTTCGTCCTAGTATGGGACTCCTCAGCAGTGCGCATCCACGAACCTGCCCCCCGCGGGATCCGAACCCAGGATCTACTGGTTTCGCGCGTGAGCACTTAACCACTGGATCACTGATCCGGCATCCAACGGTGTTAATGTCTAACTTCAACCAATCCACGAAGTTGCGCCACCGTACACCATTGTCTTCAGTGAGTTCCTATCTCACAACAGACCTGGTTGAACTCCACTGGTAACGACTTCTCACTAGAACTCCAGGAGTGTCTCCTGAAGTCAGTCACTAGTGAGCAGGTGATTATTATTATCAGAATGGGTTTTCAACTTGTGAAATTTCTAAAAATCTCCACAAAACCCATTCTGATAATAAAGTATAATTGTGTTGTGGAATAAATCATTCTTCTAGTTTTAGCGTTGTAGAATGTTACGGGGAAATAATAATACACAATTCGAACTAGAACACAAAATTAATTATTAGTGCTTAAGTCTAGCTCAAAAAAATAAAATATCAAATGTAGTTGACAATTTGACAAACGATTCCAGAAACGACATGTTTGATGAAAACATTGAGTGAATACAGTTAGGACCTATTCGAGAAGAATGATTTTCTTTCAGTTGTAGAGACTTGCAACACTTGCATCAATGTTGCTAATTTGTTTTTTGTAAAAGAAACTTGTTGAAATACCACATTCTGAGTGTTCTATGTTGTATCAAAATATAATATTGAATTAAGCCATTGATAATAATGGGTGTTAAATCAAATCTTATAAGTCCCTTTAAACATCCATTTCAAATGATTTTGCATCAAAATCAATCAAGTAATATAATTATATTAGAGTGGGGATTGGTGGAGATTGTAGTAATTTTGAATTCGTGAGTTGGTTTAAACTAGACCACCATTGAAAATCTGAAAGCATTGAACGGCCACTTCGTCCTAAGAGTTCGCATGCGAAACTGAAGGTCTTAGGTTCGAGTTCCACTGTTGAGGAATCTCATATTAGGACCAAACGGACATCCGGTGCATCCAGGTAATTACTGGTGGTCTAGCTTAGATCGACTCGTGATTCTAACTATTAAAATATAAAAAAATATAATGAAAAATCATCATAAATTTCTGATACCCCAGTGGAAAATTGAATTTCAATCACTTTTTGTACTAGTGTAAGTCTCTTTCAATAGAGGTTAAATAAATAACTGCCTTCAATTGACACATACTTAAATAGTACAAAGAAACAAAGTAGAATATTTAGTGAAATCAAAAACAAATTTGATCAAGTCACTGTCATATCATTCCGGTCAAGGTGACTTGTAAGTGAAACATGTCTGAATGGGTCTATGTATTTGTGTGTATATTAGTGGATATGAAAAAATATGTGATATTTACAATGTGATAGAGTTGAGTTAAATTTGTATGATTGTTAATTGTATAAGGTGTTAAATAAAATTAAACATGATTGTTTGGATAAATATTTCAAGTAGGGGCATTCTTTTCTACGTCAACCCAGTGGGAGTTAACAATAATAATAATTTGAAGGCTACTAACCTTTCTTTTAAGTTGGAAAAGTCTTTGTAAATTCACTATGCTACTCTGTCACATTGCAAATATCACATTTTCTTCACATCCATTAATATACATACATATACACAGACATGTTTCACATACAAATCACCTTGACCGGAATTATATGACAATAACATGATCAGATTTGTTTTTGATTGCACTAAATGTTCTAATTAGTTTCCTTGTCCTATTTAAACGTATGTTAATTGAAAGCGGCTATTTAATTATCCTCTATTGAAGAGACTTATACTAGATCGAAAAAATGCCTGAAATCCTATTTCTTACCTAGTGGGATATTATGAAAATATCTCATAGTTTTTAATTACAACAAAGTATTTGTTTTGTGTGTGTGCGTGTGTGTGGAAAATGTAACCATTTATTGTATGATTGTATTTTGTCCGTAAATTCACAATTTCTCGCATTTTATTCGTAATATTTAAAAATAGAAGTAGGAGATAGTTATTTTAAACAAAGAAGCTACTATTGTCAGTTGGATAGGATATAGTTTAGAAATTAATTTTAACTAAACAGGTAGTATTGTAATTGTATGTTTTTTTGTTACTTGTAATCAAAATATTAGAGACAAATAGTCTTCGCTATTCATATCTTTAATACATAACTGCCCATTAAGAGTCGAAGAAACTCGTAAGCTGCTAGTATTTGACAACAGATGCCTTAGAAATATTGCTTGCATCTGATGGGATCACCGGGTAAGTAATAATGAGGCTAAACACAGGGTATTAGGGAACGATAGTAAATCAGTTGATAAGGTTGTGAATCTTCATCGACTGAGATGGTTGGGCTACGTGTTATGTATGCCTGAACACCGATTACTACGACGCGCAATGCGGACTAGTGTTGGAGGCGACTGGAAGAAAGTTAGGGGTGGCCAAACCAAAACATGGCATCAGTGTTTGAAGTCACTAACTTCTAGTCTGAGCCATGTTGGAAGATGCAGACTACTTGGTTGGGGTCCGCGTGACTATCGTAACCAATGGTTGGAGACTCTGGGTAACATGGCTCAGAAACGATCACAATGGCGTAGGTGTATACACTCTCTGTCTTCCCTTAAACTAAGAGATTAAAATCGTTTCATATCTTTCTTTCTACCAACTAGTTCTTTCTTCCTATACAATATCCTTATATGCAATCTTTCTTTTATATGTTACCACTATTGAATTACTACCTCTATGAATTCGTTATTCATCTTGTTATGCTAATGCGGTATGGCAACTTGGACGGATGTACATATGTGCCTGATCCTACGTTGTAGCTGACTGACATAACTGATGTACAGTGATAAAGTATTTAGATTGCACATCGCCATTACAGTCTTTCACTAGCTTTTTAAAGCCTCATTTAAAAAAGGATTATAAACCTAATCAAAAAAGTAGTAAATATTTGTGAATTACACTAATCAATCGATTGATGCTAATTAAGGTGTTTTCTGGGCATTATTATTGGCAATTTTCGCAGGATTCGAATCCATGTCACAGAGCTGAGTCACTGCTTAAATGGGTGCATCGATTTTTGCAAGATCGCGAATTCATCCCACTGATGGGTAGCAATCAACATAAAATCTATATCCAGGGATTTTTGCTACTAGTCATCGAAAATATTATTTTTCGCATTAAAATGAGTATCAGGTGAATAGTTTTTTTAAATAGAAAATTAGATTTCTGCTAAAATGATCTCGTTCCCAATATAGTGGATGATACATGACATCGTCGATACCAAAAATTACAAATCAAAGTGATGTGTAAAATCTACTGTTTACACTTAGTTACCACTAATAGGTAAGGTTACATTAATTTGATCTGTAAATGGGGATCTGTGTATTTAAAACCACTGATCATAAAATAACTAAAAGTAACTGAGAGCATATGTCTCATCAAAATTGCATGTACGTCCTGATAACGTGTGACAGCTAGTGTTAAACCCAAGACCTGGGTTTTATAACAACCACCTCCATCGATCTTAAATTAAGATAATGTGCAACGTTAAGTTAGTTAAACCGGTAGTTACATTACAACTTGATCGATAGAATCTGATCAGCACTAAACTACAACACAAATGTGACATTGACCACTAGTCAGTAATCAATATATATATATATATATATATATATATATATATATATATATATATATATATATATTAGGACGAAATGACCGTCCGGTGCTTCCAGGTTTTCAATGGTGTTCTAGCCTAGATTGATTTATGAATTCAACTGTTTAGTTGACAACTTTTACAGTATATTGTCCTCTTCCAATATTCGACTTAAAAAGACATAGGATAGAGAATAGTAGGAAGTGGATGAGGTATTTCTTATTATTTATCTGTGTTACTCATTGAAGTCTGTCGTTACTTCTTATTATTATGATGATGACTATTTATATGTCAATTGAGTAAGATCGCAGATGTTCAAATCGACTTCTTCAGTCTAGACAAAATGTTCTTTGATTTTTAATATACAGATTTTTTCCTGTTCTCAAACAGTTGTACCTGTAATTTAATGTTACACTTTAAAAAAACAAACAAATGGAATTTACTAATCAAGTTCAATTTTTTGCCATCTGACTTTCATGTAAACTTACTATTACATAATAGCTAATAAGATTATTTAGATATCGAAAACTTCTGTATAATTTAAAAATCAGATTTCAATTTGCGATAAAATAACTGATAATTGAATTTAGTTTAAATCATGTAATAACTAGTTAAACAAAAATTTATTCATATACATTGAAACACTATGATATAAATGAATTAGTTCATTGAAAACTTACAATTTTAATCGCATACCAGCAGTCGCGGCCAAATAAATTGGTGTACGCTTTTTTTGTTCAACTGTTAATTTACTCGTTAATTTAACAAGTTTCGGTTTTAATATTTCATAAGCTTTAATTGGTTCATTAATATAAGCTGATATGCCAGGAGCTGGATGATAACGATTAGAAAGAAAGAAAAAAATACAAGTTCTCATTATGATATTAAATAAATTTGTCTTCAGTTTAAAGTTTCTCCTATAGTATCTAGTTTTCAATGACCTGTCAATGATAAATATAAGTTTTACACACATAGTTCCCTTCATTATTTTGAAAAGAGCAAGAACACAAATTCTAGTAGAATAATATGAATTCATTTTATCTCGTTGGCTCTCGTCAACTGCTTAAAACCTGTAATATTCAAAGATCATAATTACAAAATGGGTTTAAATGACTTACCTGAAAGTATTTAGTCGGAAGTTATGTTGAAGATATATTAGTGTAGTGAGGATGTAAATAAATAAAATAGACTGAATATTGTAAATATATACCTTACGTAAAACAAAATTCTACAACACTGATTGTTACAACAGTTCAAACGGCTAGAAACAAGTGATTACATAATGAGTAAACGCTGATAGGAATAAAATGTGTAGTCTGGAAGATAATTAAAATAAAAACTCAATGATGTAATAAATACAAGAAGAGTTTTTTAAAAAATGTTTAAGATTCAACGGAGGAATATTTGTCACCAAGGCAAGGAAAGGTTAATAACCATCTCCTTTTGAACACATGAATCAGGTTTTTGACGCCTGATAGCAACGGCTTTAGCAAACCTTAGAAGATTGGAGTTTGGTTGCTTACTAATCACCTTGAGAGATTGCAAGGTATCGATCTGATGTTCTGCATCCAAGAGATGTTTGGTAATTGCATTGTTTAGAGTCATTTTTCCTCTTGTTCTAAAGCATTTTGGAACATGTTCAAAAAATCTAAGATATGCTCTCCTTTCTATTCGACCAATGTAGCTGCTTTGGCAGGTATATATTTTCAATATTTAGTTTATTAAATTCAACATAACTTCCGACTAAATACTTTCAGGTAAGTCATTTAAACCCATTTTGTAATTATGATTTTTGAATATTACAGGTTTTAAGCAGTTGACGAGAGCCAACGAAATAAAATGAATCCATGTTATTCTACTAAAATTTGTGTTCTTGTTCTTTTCAAAACAATAAAGGAAAATATGTGTACTAAATTTATATTTATCATTGGCAGGTCATTGAAAACTAGACACTAGGAGAAATTATTCATTTTAATATCGAGGTAGTTAATTAGCAGTACAAAATCACAATCCTCTTCCTCTATGAGGAGTTGTATCAAAGATTTTTGGATCGTATGTTGATCATGATAAATGTAAACCTAAAATGACGGGAAATGTCAAAATTCGATTGATTTACCCTTTATGATTTGTAGTCAACATTACTTCCATTTTGATTCAATGTAATGATTATTCAGTGTAGTATTTGTTTTGTTTTCCCATATGACATTTTATTCTGTATTACATACGATATTCTTGTATTAAGTTAACATGAAGCATATGATTTGTTATAACTAAGTATTTTTCATATATGTGATTTTATTCTAATTATTAATCAAAATGGGTCAGTGAATTTTTGACTAGGGTCGTCGTCATTGTGTTTCACGGTTACTAACAGAGTTTAGGAGCCGAATCTGGCGCTCAATCTAGAAGATATATCAAGACCAATAAGTTTAGGTAAAGTGATCCAAATTAGAACCTTCAATTAATGTGTGATCCAGTGTGAAGAATCATTCAGCTCCATAAGTGACATTCGTTTCAGTGAGATGATAGCGAAAATCTGTCGACCAAGAAGAAGTTTTTAATGATATTCCGTTTACTGATCGAAATAGATTAAATTACTTTCAGCCAGCAGTAGATGAAAAAGTTGAACAATATTGTTATATCTTTTGCCCCGTCAATTATCACCTGACAAGATCGCGAATCAGGATCCGATTTATACGACCTTGACCCTATGCGTTAACCAGAACGAGCAGCCTAGAGTCGACTTTGAGTTCTAATTGGTTATTCTTGCCTTGCCCTGCCCGTTTAATTCAGAACACAATCTCAGCTTCCACTGTATGAATCGTATATTTCATACATACGCAGTCTATATACAAGCAAAGCAGACCGCATCACACCGTAAAATTGAAAATAATACAAGATCAAGCCAAAAGTGGCTGTGAGTGTGAGAGACTGTGACTAACAAATCGGGAATAAGTTAAGAATGGCAAATCGTATCTCAACAACAAATTGGTCAAATGAAAGGAATACGAAAATATACATTCTGGTAACTTAGTAATTATCCAATAAGAATATATGTAATAATCGTCCATAAATGATTCCTATCAGTTACCATTCATTTATTCTTTGTTAGAATATAACAGATATGACAACTCAACAAGTTGATTTATAGTAGTAAAAAATTTTGCCATTCAAAATAATTTCAGTAGAATAATGTTTAAAAGTGTACTGTATATTGCTTTGAGTAAATTTCAGTTTTAAACAACTGATGCACTTTATTACAATGGATAATTAGGTGGATAATACTATCAACAAATACACACTAAATGTGCGGCCAGTACTCTTGTACAGGAGAAAGGGTGCAGTTTTTAGCTGTGACATCCATTTAACCGAATGACAGTCTGGTAGTCATAGATACCTGAGACACGCTAATGAATATTTAATGATACACGACAGAAATCTACTTAGTATTTCTAACATACTGGAATACAGACATACCTTTTGGCATTGTAAAACGAACTAATTTTATTTTAGACATTGTTTAAATAAGCAAACAACATCCATCTTGATTATCTATGCTCCATTGGTTTTGAAACATTATTTTACGCAATAATATTGAATAGCTTTGATCAAATTTATTGGTTAAATACTATAAAATTCAAAATATTTTGGATTATCAGTTTTACCATACACTTTTAAAGTGATACAACACCATATGTACAATGATATAAAGAATTAAAACTTAATGTCTGAAGGGTTAACTGAAGTCCAGCATGACCAATGATTCAAAGAGTTTTAACCGAGTGTAGAAGGCAAATTAACTTAATGATAGTAGCTTTATTCATTACTGTAAATTTTAGTACAGTGAAGAATTCTTAGCGTCAGTTGTTCAGTGTTGGGAAACAGTTCTCGTTAGCATACATTTACATCATAATTATTCAAAAATTACATTCTACAAATGATTTTCTTAATAATCAATAGCTTCCACTCCTCTTCAGCAGAGTGGGCATGCCTGCAGTGTCGGTCACTATGTTAAGCCCATATAACTATTCTAGGTTCTGGACAGGTCAATTGATCCATTCTTTTTGAGTCGCGTTTTGACTTTGTTAATTATTCACTTATTAACCTTGACTGTCTTTATATGAGCGTATGTGTGTGTAGATCTTATCCTACTCATCACATGTTTGTAGCTCATTTTTGTGTCACTATAAATGTCGATTAACGCTTGATTAAATGTAGTTGGCTCACACGCTTTCTCCACTACGCGTCCTTTTGTTTCGCTTAGCTCTCTCATCTTCGCTACGTCTCTCTGATTGTCTGTTCCGATCAAATAGTGTATAAAATATACGTATTCAAACATCCATTCCCGTATTTGACTTATTTAATTTCGTTATTCACTAACGCGATCTAGGTCGATAATTATATACGAGGATTGACGAATGTATTATCAATAACGATCAGACATTTCACTCGAAAAAAAATAAAGAAATGGCCATGCAATTAATGTTAACCATATAACTGGAGTCAGATCCCGAACCACTAAAGTGACGAACCCGTCGATAACATAGTCCTCTCTAACTGACGTCAAAATGGAGGGTTCCACTAAATGCTTTCCGTTTAGTTTGAATAGCTACATTTCTCATTTATAAAATATTAAATGCATCAATTTGATTGTGTTCGTTCCTTTTTTTAAAGGGAAAACGAGGAAGAAAATATGTCAAGTTCAGAAATTCCGTTTGAAATTTCCAGTACCTAGCATAATGATAGATTGTAAATTTTTCATAATACGGTGTTTGCGTATATAGAGTTAGTATTCATAATTACACAATCCGAACAAATCTAGTGAGAAGAAATGACCAGAGAAGTACAACTCTGTCAAGTATGAGACAGTTACTCACCGAAGGCGATGGAAGATGGCCACGCAATATGACCGATCGATTGCAGTTAGACATGTATGCCGTTGGATCTCAGCTCAGTGGTCTAGATATTAGGTATTCTCATGCTAGTCCGAAGATCCTGTGTCCGATTACCGATTGCGGGGTCGTAGATTTACACTACTAAGGAGTCCAATACTAGGATGGAACAGCCATGCAGTGCCTCCAGGTTACCAATATTTATCTAACTTAGATTAATTCATAATTTCAATAAAATTCAACAATTGCCACAACCATACACTGACAAATCTAATACATGAAAGTTTATTGTAATATTTGCAAAGTTGAGAAATAGGTGGACCAAAAGTTTGAACAGACCTCCTACCAAAAATAACAATCAATGAGATTATGGAATATTAAGAATAATGAGATTAGTATCAGAAGAGGTTTTGTGGAGATTGTAGTAATTCCAAAAGTTGAGATCATGAGTCAATTGAAGCTAGACCACCATGGAAAACCTGGAAGCACTTGACGGCCGTTTCGTCCTACTGTGGGACTCCTCAGCAGTGTGCGTCACTCAATTTCGTGGATTAGTTGAAGTTGGACAATAACACCGTTAGAGGCCGGCTCAATGGCCTTGTCGGTTAAGTGCCTGGAGCGAGACTGATAGGTCGTGGATGCGCACTACCGAGGAGTTCCACAATAGGACGAAACCGCCGTCCAGTGCTTCCAGGTTTTTCATGGTGGTCTGGCTTCAATTGACTCATGATCTCAACTGTTGAAATAATGAGATTAATCAATGGTAGAAGACGTTTATGTTCTTTAAAAACAAAGTGAAACAATATCGAGTCAATACACACAGTATGCACATATGCCAATAAGAGAATGATCAATTGCAGTCTTAAACATCAATGGGAAGATTCAAGTAAAACAATATCAAGTGAATTAAAGTGAAACACTGTTTTCAGCAAAATCATTATCAGGCTTGACAGTTTTCAAGTCAATAATCATTGTACCATAACTGTCAAAATAAAGTACATCAGTGAATTAGACAATGTTGTGTTAGGAATGAATGATGAGCTTTTGCATTTGATACAGTGTAAATACTATAGAATCATATCGTTTGTAAATTAGAAAGGTCATTTACGAAAGGTTAGAATGATTCATTGTAAGGTGTTAAGTTACAATCGATGTAATGACAATAAAATAAACCATGTGAATGAAATGCATGGTAGAAGAAATTTAGTCTGATTAGTGGGGGTAATAATAATAATAATAGTAAAGGCATGTGAATTTAATATGTAGAGTTGTTGCCAGAGCGATTGCGGCGAGAAATGCACGTGAATTAACAAAAATGACTATGTAAATTAAAAATGGTACAAGGTAGATACGAACATGAAGGGAATCAAGGGTAAGGCATTACAACATAAGGTTTAAATATGTGGTGGTCTGATAGTGGTGCAAGACAAATATGGAACTTGAACAAACATCTTTTAGATACATAAATTAGGTCTTTTGGAGTGGATCCTGATGGCTTTTGTTATGTAGAGGAGTTGCGAACCAATTGACTTTATAATAATGTAACTCCTGGAGTTCTATTTAGAAGCCGTGACCAGTAGATGATTTTACTGAAAATGCGTTATCTGAGATGAGTCGTTCAATTATAATGCTTGCGTCACCGTTTAAAAATAACCATCAGCACAAACCTCTGAAGTTTGTACTCAAAATAAAAACGCAATTTCAGCGAACGAAGAATGAATCCATATCCTAATCACCACTTAAACGATAGAATAATCGATAGTTTCGTACCAATGACCAAGATTTACTTGAAACGAAGATACGTTGAAAATAAAGTTACTTCAGTTTTATAATACTTAACGCTTATGTATTTTAAATTGAATAACTCTGTGTTCACATAATCATCTTTCCAAGGTCATTAGGGCAACAATTAATCGATAAAACAAAATACAATCATGCACACTAAACTACAGACAGTTGTATGATTTCTTCACGTTCTATGATCCTTGATAGAAAATTTTCAGAAGGGGAATTAAATTTAATGATAATGGAGTCAATTTAAACTTTAAGTAATCACTAATAATTAAACGATTAACAACATTATAAGCTATTCCGATGTAGGACCGTATTTAAAGATTATCTAGAGAGTGAATATGCTGTTTTTATAATGATAGTCGTAAGCAATATTGAAGTGGAAAACTTAAGAGGAACAAGTTTTTCGTTTTTCCCTAAGTGTGATTTACATGTTACATCGAGTTAATAGGACAACAGTGATAGTAGCATATCAATGACATTAAATTAAAAAAGAATGTACGGTTAATCATTTCAATGTTAAGGGAAAATGAAACGGATTCACGAAATGTGTATGAGCAAATAAAGACTCTCTTATACTTACTGTTATAGAGACATTGGGATGAATATTTATACGGTAAACAGTTCGTTAAGTTTTTAATAACAATAAATCACAACGAATCAAGATAAGTTTATCAACCATTCAAAGTCTCTATACGTAGTGTAGTATGTCAAACATCTTTTTTTGTCAGGTTACAGTATCTCAGATACCAGTTCATTCTGTAATAAGTTTTCACAATAGATAATAATCATAGGAAAATTTATTTTACAAATTACTAGTGATATTCTGTTTATATTTTGTAGTGGCAGGTACTATGTCAAGTCCATATGGGCTATTCTGGCCTTTGGACAGACCAATTTATTCATTCTACTCAAGCAACATTTTGTCCTGTCACTTATTCGTTTATCAACCTTGAGTGTTTTGATGTAAGCGTATGTATTCGAGTTGCTTGCCCTATTCATCGTGTGTCGGTAATTTGTTTTTTTTCACGCTTGATAAAATCGAGTTGGTTCATTCGTCTTCTCCTCTAAGTATGTTTCGCTCCACTTTATCCGCTTCGTTTCATTGATGGTCTTGCTGAGATCAGTGAGTGTACGAAATATACATATTCAAACTTTATTCTCGTATTTGACTTATTTAATGCTGTTATTCACTAACGCGGTAAAAGTCGATAATTATAGACGAGGATAGCTGGGATATATATTTCGATAACATAATCATACGATCTAATTGGAGTCAAATGAACAGCAACTAAAATTTTGCATATTTAATTTGTAAAATATGGTCGAGTCTACACGAGTAAAATCTTCAACCACCAGAAATACAATGAAATCAATCAATTTAGGTAAGAATAACTGTTGTCTTATAAACGTTTACCAACAGTCTGGTCTGATTTCTAATAATTAATCAGATGATTATCAATGAAAGTAAGCAGAAACATTGCTTTTTCAAAAAGGTTAACTAAATTAAATTTCGATAGAATAAATCACTTACAAACTTTTTCATTAGTTACTTCATCAACTTTTCCATTTGATCGAAATGGTTCATCGATCCATTTATATAAATGAAGTTTTGAAGAAGTTGATCCTGCATCAATCACCACTGAATACTATAAGATAATAAACAGAATATTATATAAACAAAGATGAATGGAGAAAAGAATGCAATCGATAAGATAATCCAACCTTATAAAAAATATAATGAACCATTTTGTCAGAGGTTTGAACTCTCCGTTCCATTTATTTCGATTTCAATAACAGAATATCTCGTTGAGGTCATTGTGATAACCATGATAAGCGACTGTAGACGTTGGGTGACGTAGCTCAGAATCAAACACAAATGCACTTCTTGTCGTTTTCTAGATTTCAAGCAACAGTATTCCTTGATATATGCTACTTAATTCTTTCTTATCTTAAATAATGTTCTCTCTCGTTATCTCAATTTCTTTGTTATTCATATTTGTCAATTTCGTTCTGTTGTGATAATGTCGTGTGCAAATTAGACTTCAGGAAACTTCTGCTAGGAATGTAAGTTAAATATAACTGACTGATACCTGCATAGTGAACTGATTTCACACAATTATTACTCAATAATGTATTGAGTGTAAACAATCCACAATTTAACACTGAGTTGTAGTAATATAAAACAGTAATAATTTAAATGAAATGAAATTATAAAATATTCAGTGAGACTATAATTTATGGACGATCTTTGAGGGACGCTGAAGTGACCTTGAGAGTGGACACCTACTAATTAAGACGAAATGAGGGTTAGAAAGCAGCTAGAATCCTCATTTACAGTTGATGGTTAGGGTTAAAAATTAGATTTAGGTTTTTCATCACGAACTGACATCAGCTATGATGTCAAAACTTTATTTAGTCAGATGTATGGATGAATTTCGCGCCCAAATTCCTGACTCGTTATCTTATATCTGATTGGTTCGCCCATAAATTATAGTCTCGCCAAACATTCAATAAAAATTCTGAAAAAAAGGTATTTTACAAAATTAAAACAACAGTACTTACCACATCTGGAATGTTATGACTTATAATATACAAGACAATGATAATTATTAGTCCAATAAAACTGATCACCAAAATAATTAAAGCTAATATTTTTAAAATCTTTTGAAGATTAGTATTACGTTCCATTATTTTTCGAGGATCTAATGAAACATTACTTATCTAAAATTGAAAGTATTCATTAGAATAACACGATAAATAAGAAATGACAACAAGTGTATGAAGGAAAGGAAGTTTTAATCTTAAATTAAAAGAAATCAAGATATTTTTCAATGGTTTTATTACTATTATTGTTAGTAACATAATAGAGATAGTCATTTATACCAATACACCCTTCATTCATTAGAATGAACTCGATCAGGAAGTTATAAAATGATAATCATTTGAAACAGGATAATATTTTAAAGTAACAAGTAATGGATGTTGACTTTTACAACAAATAATTCAAATGAATAATTCTCTTTTTAATTTTCCCATTGATGTTTAGAACTGCAGTTGATCAGTCTCATAGTGACATATGTGCATCCTGTATGGATTGTCTCGATATTGCCTTAAGTCACAAGTATTATAAGCTAACGGTACTGAGTTCGAGGCCTGGAGTGCACATTAGCCAGGTACATCCAGCTGACGAGTCCCAAATAGGACGAAACGCGTCCTGGATTCAATTGCTAGACACCATCTATCTTTGCTTAGATGAATAGGTTTGCATTCTAGAACTTTACTATATTTATTATGAAAGAAACTTATAATCTACAGATTTTATCTTGCAAAAATATGAAGACAGTTATCAGTTAAATTGTTTTCTTTTCCCTATAGCTATTTTATGTTCATCAAACGATAATATAGTTTGGAAATACACAATAATTCCTTAGAATTAATTATGATTGGAATGTAATCGTTTTTATTTGAATTTCAGACATTAAGGTAACAATTAAGTGTTGATTATTTTTATTACATCAGTTGAATTGATTATTAACCTCGCCCTTTAATTGTCAATGTCGCTAAAAAGATACATCAAATACTTGGGTGACTGCCTTCGGTACAAAGAGGACTGAAAGACATTTACATCTTAAATCTTGAAACTCGCTTGTATGGTACCCAACCATAAGTTTGTACAAGAAATTCGCAATCTACAAATATCGTGATACGTGATGCATCATTTAAATCACATTATTAGAATTGAATTAGTTAATATTTTACAACGTTCATCAATCTGCAATTTTCGGTGATCCACCGTGAAGCTAGTCACACATACTTCTTGATTCTAAAGTTTTCATAGTATGAAATACTTCAACAATGCACATCTACGACCTAAAACAGGGTATCAAACTCAAGTCTTCGTAAATTTTCACTAGTTCTTTTCAAATAATATCTACAGTTTGTGGAAGCCAATTAGAAGTAGCATAGTGAGAAGGTCAATCGATGGGTATCAGGAGTGACGTGAAGGACAAGTGCATTTGATCGACTAAGAAATCGGTTAATTTCCTAAGAATAGAGTCGTATGTATATATGTATATATGAGTATTTGTGCATTTTATTCGGTAGCCAAATACACTTTCTCAGTCAAGTAGTTAGTTAAGAGGTTAGCATGTAGCACACCATGTATCAATATCAGATATCGGACACCGCCTATCACAACAGTTAAACTTGAAATTAAAAGTAAAAATATAGGCAAATTAAACAAATCACCTAGAAAAAGCAAATAATCCATTACTGGTTCTGTTATTTTCGATTATTTTTTACATAGAAAAAAAGTGTTAATGAGATTACAAGAAAACAATATGAAATCACAAATTACATCATACACACATGTGTACATAGATATATATGCACAATACACACAAATATTTCATCAAAATTAAATTATGAAACTAAATTCAAATTGCGCCATTCAATGTTCAAATATGAAAAGAGTATTCAATTAAAAATACAAATTATAAATTGTAATAGCTATCACAAATAAATTATGATTTTTGTTATGACTAAAGTTTGGAAATTATTCTCTGTTCAATGTTGGTATGGTTTATTCTAAACAAGAATGAAAATCGATGGGATACAAATCATTTTCATTAGATTTATTGCGAATAATAATCGTTTTTTTCCCTATCTACTTAGTTAATCGAAAACACGGAATGTTACAATATAATCTCATATAGATAAATGTTTCTAACAGAAAAATACAAACAAACAAACGCGCGCACACACACACACACACACAATAAACTACAGATATTCTAACACTGTTTTTTATAATCTTAATGAGAAAAAATAAATATGAATTTGATATTTGTTTCTAACTTAGATCTACACGATCTGATCATCACTGTGATGATATTATGTTGGATTCCAAAGAAAAAAATTGATCATCAACTTGTTATCTCACAATAAATCCAAATATGCACAAATCCAAAGACATTTTGAGTCGAAAACAAAATAAATATTTTTTTAAATTCGAATAAAACCCTCGAAATATATATATATATATATATATATATATATATATATATATATATATATATATATATATAATTTCCATAGTTTCAATTACAAACTAAACTTGATCAGACCACCACCACTGAAAACATGATATTAAATTTATGTAAAATAATGTACTGAAATGAGAATTATTATGTCACAATCTATGTAGGTAACTTTATTTTTGATAAGAGTCGAATGGATTAGGTTAAGGATGAATCACAAATACTATTCAACTGCTATAAAACATGTTTACTTTTTTTCTAATCTATAAGTATTACTACATTGAAGAATATTTAGTAACGCGAACTGAGTACAAATAAATAATATTATGCAGATTGAAATCATGAGTCAATTGAAGCTAGACCACCATGGAAAACCTGGAAGCACTGGATGGCCGTGTCGTCCTAGTATGGGACTCCTCAGCAGTGTGCATCCACGATCCTGAACCCAGCGAGATTCAAACCCAGGACCTATCAGTCTCGCGCCAAGCTCTTTTTATTTTACAAGTTTTGAATTGTAACTAGCAGTGAAAGATAGGATATGCATCTTATCCTATTTAGACCTCGTCAGTTAAATGTACCTGTACTCCATTGCTGATGTTTATATTGGAACTCATCTATAGAAAATCCTCTGCATATAAGCTTATTCATAAACGACAATTTCTTTTTTTTTCTCATTAAAATTAACAAAAAAAACGGTTACTCTTTGTTTATGACTACTATTTCTCGATACTTTTATCACATCAATAGAGAGTAATGATGAAATGTTTACAGAGTATTCATCAAATGATGTATTTATTATTGACAGATACAAAGCTTCAACAATGTTGAATAAAAATATCTTTTGTAGATATATACTTGAAGTTTACTTACAAAACCAACCATTGACTAACTTAAAATTAGATAAGAGAAAAAAAGTCTATGAAGTAAATAAATCTAACATATTTGAGAGAGAAAAGAGTCAATATCTGATTTTACATTCTACTAACTAGTGTTATGGTAATTTGTTTTTGTTTAAGAATACCAAAGAAAATAAGATGACCACAATCAACATGGTTAGTTGAAAACTACAGTAAATAATAATAATAGTAATAATCGAGTGATATTACTATGAACGAAAGCAAAGTATCATTTTCAATTCGATTCCTGTTAAAAATGATGTGAAGATCGGTTTATTTTCTGGAGAAATTATGAAATAGAAAGAAACATGTAGTCTATTGAAGATTTCAGACATTAAAGTAAATAAACACAAACATACACACAGAACATTCGAATGAACAAAGTTTGTAGATAGATGGGAGTTGTCAATGAGTGAATAGTTGAGTTTTGCAGTACTGAAGTGTAATGTTTGAAGTTAACGACACACTGACAATCATAGTGAGAAAAATTCAGTCTTCAAGATTATCCTTGCGTATACATGTTTTACACAGACAGTAATCAACTAATCGTTAGTAAATAACTTTGAGACGCTATTTCACAAAGCGTTCAGTGAAAAATTATCACTGGCGTGGGGGTTTATCTACGTCAAGAGGTTATCATTGAGAACTTTGAATAATCACTTGTCTTATTACCAATGTGAACTGTCTATAATTTCAAAATGTATATTATTGAATCCTGACTCATTTGTTTAGGCATATTATCCTCAGAGTGAAAAGTGAAGATTGTGGATTTGCGCGCTTAAAGTTGTACGTGAACGCACTGATTTCCAGTGATTATCTCCATATGGTGTCAGTCAGTAGTTTGTAAACTATTCATCAACTCGATTTGTGAAATTATTTGACGTTAGCTGTTATTTTCTTATTAAAAATGTGTTACTACATCGACACTATGTTAGTTTTCAAGGTTATTTATGGAGTTCTGTCTCATGTGCCCTACGCTTCCAGCATCCGCCTCTTATTTACAGCGGAAGCCATAGAACACAAAACAGTAAACCTAATCTTTGTGTAAAGAAAATATTTGTACAACATCGTCATTTACTCTGGCCTTCTACCTAGTTTTTTCTTACGTTTTTTTCAAAATATTCTTTCAATCCTATTTAAGGTTAACCAATGTTTTTCGTAATCAGTCTTAGTAACTTAATTATCTACCTTTAACTTGTATTCATATCATGAATGATAATTTTAATCTTCTATCTATTTACTTAGCTCTGCCTATAGCCTTTCTAATGTTACTGCTGGTTCCAAACCTGGGTAAAAAAAAGGAGAGTTTAGAATCGAGTTAGCAATCTCGTCTTATCAAAAAAAACTTTGTTGACTAAAGCTAATCAGAAAATGATTCGTTAGGTTACTAACTGATTATATTTATGTTTAGAAAAATTCATTATTAAATTGGTTTGTCATCATTTGTTTAACATAAATCTTATACATAAGTTAAATATCTATATACATTAATGTACATAGAGACTTGATGATGAAATGATTTAAAAGAAATGTTTTTTCGTTTGACTTGTGAATAGATTACATGAGTCTTCTCAATAATCTATTGAAGTGTACTTACTTTTGCTTTGAGATTCTTTCTTATATTCATCTACTGTGACCGAGTTGACTATCTTGGTTAAATTTGACATAAGTACACATATATGTACATAATAGCTAATCTAACATTCATTAGAAATTGAATCTTATTACGACTGTTTTGAAAAGAACAGTATTTAAAAAAAATAATAAGCTGGTAACTATTTGATTT